CAATTATTTCGCAAAATTTTGTTTAAAAATGATGTCATTTTTTCCTTTTTCGATAGTTTAAGCAGATTTTTAAGCTGAAAACTCCGCGAGATTTTACCGAGTCAAAAATCACTAAATTTTTATAAAGAAAAAAATATACAGGGTGTTCCGTTTTTATTGTTACAAATTTAAACAGGTGATAGGATATTCAATTCTAAGACAAAAGTTTCCTATAAACATGTATCGAAAAATGCTTGGTAACCCTGGAAGGGGGCTAATATGTTTTTGCTAATATTTCAGAAACCATTTAAGATAAAATTACAAATTTGGTACAGATGATAATCTTTATACACCTAAACGAATTCAAACATCAAATGTCGAAATTTTTAATCAGGGGCGTACGAAACTGTGGGAGTTTTAGGTAAAAAAACACTCTATTTATTTTGGCTTTAGTTTCTCGGTACTTTCAGCAACAAAATCTTAAGTTTGATAGTTTATCACAGAAAAGTCTCTATTGTGTCGATACGACTTATTGTTTTTGAATAAAATTAATTTAAAATTTATGTTACACACCAATACAACATTCAAATAAATCAGAATTTACAGAATAATAAAAGCAAGAAATTCATATTTTTTAATCAACCTCAACTAATTAACATTACATTACAGTAACAATAATAACATTAATTAAATGAATTTGCCTAAATCTAAAGGAGTTGTACAAAGTGACCACCATTTTGGTAAATGCATAACTAAAGAAACTAGAGCCAAAATAGATAGGGTATTTTTTTTACCCTACCCAGTTTCGGACAGCCCTGATTAGAAATTTTGACATTTGATGTTTGAATTCGTTTAGGTGTATACAGATGATCATCTGTACCAAATTTTGTAATTTTATCTTAAATGGTTTCTGAAATATTAGCAAAAAACTATTAGCCCTCTTTCAGGGGGTGCAGCTCCTTTACCAAGCATTTTTCGTTACATGTTTATAGGAAACTTTTGTCTTAAATATCCCATCACCTGATTAAATTTGTAACAATAAAAACGGAACACCTGTTTATATTATATTTTTACCTAGGTTTTAGGATTTAACCATTCAGTTCATGTAAAAAAGACGTAAGAAGCTTTCGAAATGATTGCAATGATTTAAATCAATTTAAATAGGTGTAAATTTAGCAATTTTTTTCAACTTGGATCTGGTGAATTTCATTTTTGTGATCTGGCAACACTGACACCTCGTTTCGTCACCTAAGTGACTACTAAACTCACCTCAACCAAAGCATCGTCAATTATATGATCCCTCCTAACCTTCAACCTCAAATAAGGATTAGAAGGTTGTCCTGTCACCGACTGTAAAATACTAATCCGTCTTTCCGAATACATCCGAATGCGATTATCAAAATATAAACCCATCATCTTGGTCGCCGGCGTCAAGATAAACGGATAATTCATAAAACTAAACTTCCCTACAAATTCCAATTGGTTAAAAACCCCCAAATAATTGTCAAATACGAACCAAGTTCGCTCTTATAGTTGGCAAAATCTCGATCCATTTCGACGCCATCACTCAAAGGCTCGTTATAGAATTCAGAGAACGGTAAATAAGGTTTGCGGCAGTCTAAGACGTGCACTCCCAACTCGGCAGCTTAACAAAAAAAAAAACACTATTATTTATACTCATTTTGATATTAACGTGCATCGAAGTAGTCGTTGCAAGGGGTCATTTTAAGGTGGCAACCATGCGAATCTTCCCCAAATTTTTTTATTCAAATAAATGTGTACCCCAGGAAGAAAAGAATAATTAAAATTAACAACATAATAAAATAAATTTGTCCTGAATGGCATTAATAAAAACTGAATCGGTCTTTAAATTAAAAATGCATTTATACTCTTTTACCCTAACTGAATCTTTAATTTAAAAGTTGATTTACACAAAAAGTGTCATTAATGTCATCCAGAACAAATTTAATCATATCAATAATGACAAAAGTCTTTAGCTATTCTATGTTAATTACGTTGTTAATTTTAATTATTTTTTTCTACATGAGGTATATGATCCCTTTCAACGACTACTTCGATGCACATTAATGTGAAAACGAGTATAGACCTACTTGATGCACATTAATATGAAAAAAAGAAATGATTTCAGATAAAACTCACCTAAAGGATCAACTGGTGGTTGGGTTTTATTCAACTTAATAGCGACATACGAGTCATCCATCGACATGGACAACTCTTCATTCCGCAAATCCGGCGACTCCAAAACGCCCGCCAAAATATTCGCATAAAAAAGAATCTAAACAAACAACAATCAGATCAAACCAATTGAACATCGAGTAAACAACCTTCATCAGTTTCGTCGCTGACGTGATAACATTCTCGTCCTGTACATAAAAATCCCTATGAAACTGCGTCACGATCACCCTCAGTGTCACCAACTGCTGTAAATTCTCCAAAATGTTCCTAAGACTCGAACGTCCCGTCCCCGACCAAATCCGGGCCAATTTCGCCTGGACTTCCACCGGCAGCCACTCGGAAGCCCTACAGATGGCCGGCAGCGCCGTCTCGAGAAAATCACCGGAACCCAAAGCCGGGATTTCGAAAACTATCAATAATACATTGACGACATCGTCCTGATTTCCGCACTCCTTTCGCGTCGGCAGCTCCATCTGGAGGTTCCCGGCTAAAGTAACCAAAGCGTTGACCAACGAGTGCTCAAAAATTGAAGTTTTGAGCTTGAAAAGGGCCGAGTAGGCGCGCCGAACCGAGGGAAGGTCCACCGGGAGGATGCTCCCATCGGAGGTGTCCGCGGAGGAGTCCTCGTCTTTGTCTTTCTCGCCCTCCAGTGACCTCACGTCCTCTTTCTTGAGGCCTGTCTCGTCGAGGTTTGTCTCATTGGGGCTTTTATCGGTCTGTTGAAAACTCCGAGAGAGGTTTTCTATGCTACTGAAGACTTCGCCCAACTTCCGGATGAGACTTAAATAACATTCAGTCGACTCACACTCGTCGATAATGTCATAGAGCATTTGTTCCGTCAGGTAACTAGTCGAGTTATTAGTTGTGTTGAGTTTAATATAACTTTCATTCCCGGCCAAAATCTCATTATTTGGTGTCACGTCGTTTTTGCGATTGATCGACTCGTCTGAATCCGACGAAAGCATTTTGTTGTTAGTCCTCGGGATTTTATTGGGGTGTCTCTCGCACAAAATCGCTTCCTGAGAGAAGAGTTGAATGGCTTGTGCAGCTGCCTCGTCTGGTGTGAGGGGTTTGAGCTGAAACTCCGCTTTTGGGGTTGTTTTTTAAGCATGCGAGGGGCTTACCTGCCCGCTCGAGGCGCAGTATTTGTTCTTGCACGCGGGGTTCCCACAACCGTCGGTCAATTGGTAAAAATATCGTTCAATCAGCTTTCGGGCAGCAGCACGTTTCATCTCGTCCTCCTTATTGTCAGGGGTGGAGGTTTCGTTGTTGCTACTAGACGAAGCCTCTTGGTTTATCCTGCAAGCATTTCAATCGGTTTATGGGGGCACAAAGGAACTGGATTCGAATGACATTCAAGTTTGACATTACGAACATAACCTCAAAATCAATCGGGAAAAATACAGATAAAGGGGGTGGTACCTTGAAGCGTCGTCTTGGTCTGATGGTTGGTCTGAAGAGCTCATAGAATTTTCTTGTTTAAATAAATAAACGCTAAAACACTAGAAAAATAAAAGATACAAAAAAGTTACGCAAAGACTCTAGCACATAGAGTTCCACATTGAGAAACGTCGAGAAAACTTGGAAATACTTTGTCGTAAAATTCAAGGCGAATATTTTGTTTGTTTTTAATTGAGACTTGAAGATTTTACGACATTGCTAATGATTGCTCTGTCACTTTAAGTTGGGGACTTTCGACTGCACGTGTTGGTGCTACAGGAAGGTTGGTCAAGCTGATTATTTACAAATTTGAAATATTTCCTTTATATTCTAAATTCACTTTAAAAAAATAAAACATCTAACGACAAACAACGCTTAATGTAAAAAAATTGAGAAGAAAGTGATAAGTTCTAACAAAAGCTTAAGCTTCTGTCATGTTACAACAAATTTACCAACAAATTTTCACAAAATCAATAAATCTGCAGCTTTGCTTTGTCAATTTACGTATCAGTCGATGACTTAAGTAATCTTACAGACGGCTCAAGTAGGTAAAGTTTGTTTTATTTAATAAACAATTGTCAACAGTAAATTTCAAATTCATGATTGGCAACCTTGTGTATGTATAACTCTCATTGTTATTTTTCTCATGAATTACTCTTTTGCTTATTAGTATTTTAATCGTGTCTTTCTTTTACTATATTTTTTCAGCATAATTACTTTACTAAGCTCTATTATCTGTTCCATATAACGTGGTATACTCGTTTTCGTATTAATGTGCATCGAAATAGTCGTTGAAAAGGATCATTTTAAGGTGGCAACCATGCAAAAATTCAAACAATCCAAAACTCAAACTTTACTACAAATTATTTTTTCAAATAAATGTGTACCCCACATCCCAGATAGCAAAAAATAATAAAAATCAACAACTCAATTAACATAGGGTAGCAAACATAAAAATTTTTGATCGGATTTTTGTCATTATTGATGTGATTAAATTGGTTCTGAATGACATTATTGACACTTTTTGTGTGAATCAGCCCTTAAGTTAAAGATGCATTAGACTTCTACAATCAAAAGATCTTTCAAGAAATTTTGACATTTTGACAATTGGCAACAAACTTTACAAATTGTTATTAGACAATCTGACCAGAAAACGTGTTTTGTAATTTACCTCCATTTTGATTCTCTAATAGACATATGTCTTAATTTAATAGTTAAACGGTGACTACATTAAATTTTGACTTAAAATTAAGACAATTACTAAACGTCACAGCAACCTCTAAATCGACCAAAGTCAAAATTTTTGTTTAAAAACGGTATAAAGAGGGCAAATCACAAAAAAAGAGTATAAAAAACTCGTTTCATAAAACCTTGAAGTACTAATTTGTGGCTACGCCATTCGTTTTTTAAACTTGAATTTGTGCTTCAAGACTGGTCTTATGAAACTTGTTTTCTTAATAAACTATTGAAACACCAATTTTCAAAAAAAATCAAGATGCAAAACGGTGAATAAAAGTCCGAGGACTGTATACTTACGTATTTGTGACCAACTAAATATAATTATATTTATGAGCATGACTGTTGTTTATTAAAATAAATAAAAATCAGTCCTTTGACAGTTATTTCCGTTCGACCTTGTATAAATAATAATTATTTGGATGCTGTATCTCGGCTGAAACTTTGTATCTGAGTCGTTCTGCAATTGGCTAGGGCAAAATAAGAGACTCCTTTAGATATAAATTAATATATTTGATAAAATCCCTAGAAGTAATACATAAATAAGGCAATGAATATATAACAAGTGAAACAACTAATAAACTTACGACTAGAAAAGCATCTGACCTTGTGCAGTAAACCCCCGCCTCAAGTCACGCACTGTACTTAACTCAGCCTTTCAGTTCGAGAAAATCTATTCTACTAATCACAGAACAAGTTGATAATTCTCTATGCAAACTTGACCACTGAAGGCCTTGGTGTATTTGGGACGGAAACAGGTGGTTCACATACTCCCAGAAAAATCGAAATTCTGTTTATAAATAAGTCCGGTAAGTCATCGCCACCTTACACCAACATGATTATGATGAATGAATGGTTTTAGTGATAAGCGTTTTAGTGTGGAATTAAAAAAGAAATATATAAAATCAGTCTTATACAAAACTCTGGTTAGTTGAGAAATGTAACACAGTTAATCAAATACATGTAGTTTTCAACTAACCGGGCATACAGTTCTCTTCGCACTTTCGCTGTGAATTTATTGACTACGCATAAAGTCGAAGCTGCTGCGAAAGACAAGTTGTAAAGTAGTACAATTTGGAAGTTTCCAAGCCACTCGATGCTGCCGAAATCGCCCAATAGGTCAAAATTTGTGATACCTGGAGCAAAAATTCACGTAAAAACGCTTTAATGCACCTTCAACTTACCCAAAATCTTTGATAGTAGAGGCAAAGCCGAACTGAGAATCAATACAACAGCACAATTGCCTATAATTAAACAAAATGGCGTACTTTTAGGCCTCGGCCGAATCCGAGACATCACAGGAGCTGTATAAAGACCTATCGAAGAAGTTGCAATTAAGTATAAAATTAATACAATCTCCAATGCTGCCCCAAAGGGACCCAACTTGGACAAAGAGCTGACGCCTAACGTGAATTGCTGGAAGAAAATCCTATTAAATGTGATAATTTCACCGAAAAAAGTACCTTTGAACTAAGAGGCAACGCTTTAATCCCAATAAGCAAAGAAAGCGTGTTTTGTACAACCAACAGTACTGCAATTACTGTCAAACCGATCAAAAGTATCATCGCTATTGGATGTAAGACGTTTCGGCGCAGAAACGACGTATGCCTTTGCTTATCTACAAACAAAATTACACACGTGTTACATACAGTTTTTTCTTACCAACCTAACATCTTTCTCCTTGTTTCGACTTCGACAAGGCGTGAGCCGAGTCCCGATTGTAATTCCCCGTTTCGTAGCCGTAATAAATTATCAGGAAGTTTGTAATCGTCATCGTGGAAAGGGCCGTTTAGACCTATCGACATGGGGGCCGGACTGACGTAATACTTGCCAGTGGTTTGTACATGTTTCAGTCTTCGCCTCAAACACTCTTCTTCTAAAGCACAAGCGTAGTATTCCTCGTTAATATCGCGCAAAAATTTAGGTTTTATTAGGAACTGACTGACGACGTCAAAAAGTCGCACGAAGCCCAAAGGTGTGCATACTGAAAAAAATGTAAGAAAATTAATTTGTTTTAAGGATTTTTGAGCACGTTGTTACCTAAAAGCATCAAAACGCCCAGGAATGATATGCACGAGTATAAAAACGGTAAGTAGTAGCTCCACAAATCTGCAATTAAAAAATGTTTATTGTGAGAATAAAAGCACAGATGGCTTCCTAAACTACTAGTTTTGCAAATCCACGAGATATGTACCTATTACATTACAAAAATACTTTTTACCAAAACTACATCTACATTTTTATTTTGTGCTAAGTGCTCAAAACATTTTTTTAAGTATCGAATGTAGTAATTTTGAAAGATTAGATTCTTTTAGAATATGTCGTGTTAACAATAAAACAGTTAAATTTAGAGCGTTTACTAAACATGTCTTTGTCCGTTCTTATACCGGGAGAACAAAAAGTATGGAACAAAACATTTTCTGCTTAAACTACTTACTTCACGAAAAAAATAATTGGTGCTGTTTAAAGTGCTTATTAAAATAAATGTGATCGTTTTTCAAGAAAAAGATTTTTCGATATTTCTTTTAGTTTTCGAGTTTTGAAAAAAAATTTTATTGCAACCCACCATGACATTTTTTTTAATTAAAAATTATGATCTAAAAGTGACCTCTAAAAAAATGTTCTTTCACCAGTAATTTTTTGTAATAATTTTAAAGTTGCACATACCACATCGGTTAAGTTCGGAAAATCTTCGTGATGAGCTCGGAAGGCAACTTTAAGAATTTATTAAAAAAACTACTCTACAAAAAGCAATTTTATTTACTCAATTAGAGGTCATTTTTAGTTCAGTCTTTAATTATAAAAGATGTTATAGTAGGTTGCCATTAAAAATTTTTTTTTTGTTAAACTCGAAAAATTTTATTCTTAAAAAACGATCACATTTTTATAGTATAAGTACTCGTAAAGTAATTAGTTTAGGTAAAAAACCCTTGGTTCCATACTTTTTATTCACCCGGCATAATTTACATGTGTTTTTGGTATACAGGGTGATACCTAAAAATGACCAAATTGTGCAACGAACGTAACACTATTTTTATGTGACACCGTCTCCTTTTATATTTTTATATTCTAGAACAAATATTATAAGTTTTTTTTTTTTTCAATATGCAGTTTATACAGGGTCGTTCTTCATCTCAGCTCCTACTCCTGTCACTCAGTTACTACTTAAGTTGGAATTTGAAAATTTTATTTATATTCGAAAGCGCATTTCAGGAAAATATTTTTGATTATACAAAATGTTTTTTAAAAAATGTGACGTTATGACGTCATTAAACTTGATTACAAGACCGTTAGAATTTATTTAATAAGCATCAGTATTGATGTTATTAAGGAGGGGCTATTTATATTTTTTATTAATTTTTAAAACTAAAGATGCAAAACTGATTTTTTTGGTTTTCATTTTCTTATAGTAATACCTGAACCAATTTGAAAAAAAGTAAGTAAAAAGGCATTCTAGAATATAAATAAAGTTTACAAAATAGCAAAATTCCAAATGAAGTAATAACTGAGCTACAGAAGACGGGAGCTGAAATGAAAAACCCTGTATAAGTATTACAATCTTGAAGTTTCGAAGTTTCAAATGTCAAGTTTACCTAATGAATTATAAAAATATTAAACAGATTTTTTTAATTTATTTCCATTTCAAAAAGTCACAATACATATTTTTTTTTTTGTTTTCATAATAATAATATAACGCTCAAGCACTTCCATCTTTAAAAAGCGGAAAAATACGTTGTTTCACGCCCTATTTACTACATGTAAATTTTCATGTAATTTTTTTATTATTACTTATTATTTTATTAATTATTATCATATAAAACATTTTAAAAATTATGAAGTCTCTAGAAAAACATGTGTATTAAAAAATGATGAACAAAAAATAAAAGATGATAAAACACTAAATAACAAAGTAGTTTATCAAAAAGTTAAAGTTTAAACTTGGCAACGTTGTAATCGAAATCTACAGTAGTTGGCATTGAAAAAAATGTGTTGGTAGTTGTTAATAGAAAGAAAGAGGAAAAAAAAGATACCAGTGTTCCTCTCATATAATTAAAAATAATAATTTTAGTGAATACAACTTTAACAATACAAGAAAACAATTTATTTCTTTTAATAATAAAATCAGCATCGTTCGAGGCTTTACTGACTCACGTTGTACAACATATTTTTATTTTTTATTAACTATTTCGAGCTAATCTCTTCACATAACTATATAAAAAGTATTGTTATTCCCCCAAATACTTACTGAGTAAAGTCTGAAAACTCGACTTATCTTTATCAATAAGTGCCGATATGACATACGTCATACCCAACACCACCAATCCTAAAAGCCCTAGAACTGTAAAAGTTTCGTAAACTCTGGCCATCAATCCTTTGCGATGTCCGAAAAATCCTTCCGATTCAGTAAATAAATAAGCAAATGGTAAAAGAACGAAAAGTGATAAATTCGAAAATAAAAAAATATAATTCCATAATCCTTGAATAAGAGAACTGTTTAACCATTTGATGTAATAGCTGTTGGGGTAGATAATAAGCACTTCGTTCGAAATTATAGAAATTGGTAAAAGAAGAACGGCACCGATTGATACTGCTAATGAGAATGTGCACAACCAAGTGCTTATACGATAGACTGTGACCTCGTCTTCATCGGTGCTGTAGTAGTCTTCGCGGCCTTTTCGTTTGAAACGTCCCAAAAGAGCGAAACTCAGAAGGTAGAGGAGAAGGAACAGCAACAAAAAGATCTGAAACAAAAAATAGTAAAATAATAAATTAAAAGTATTAAATTTTTATCGTAAAGCTAAATTTTGTGAATTTGATCGACACACGAGCGTAAAAACTGTGTCAGCAAATTGCGAAATTAGAGTTCATTATAGTTCATCTACTATAAATAACAAATTTATGACGTCTTTATTCCCCAGAATAAATTATTATTGTTTTAAACGATTTTAATGTCCAACGATCGTTTCCGCATCGCCGATGAGAATTAGAAAAAACGACAATGATGTAATTTAAATTGTTGTTAAATAGGGAGCGTCAAATTTTAAAAGGAATGTCAAATTAATTCAATTAAAACCCGGTGTGCACTGTAAAAACTCCTTTTTATTTTTATCTGAAACTGTTTCATTAAAAAAAAATCGATTTTTTTTACGCCTCGTTTATTTGAAATTAGAATTGTGTTTTTATCAGCACGAGTTTGTTATCGTTATGCTTGCGTGACGTGTATACAGAGTGACCACAATGCATTTTTAATTATTTATTAAGATAACAACGAAGAGATAAGAGTTTAAATAAAAAACCTTGACGTTGTCAACCTGAAATTAATGCACCAAGTATAAAAGCTTCAATCAACATTTATAAATGATAAAACATGATAAAAAGTAGTAATACGAAAATGAAACATGAACATGAAAAAAATGTTTAAAAAATTCTTATTTTTTGACATTTGACATTTTTTTAATATGTATTTAATGATACTGATGATCTTGTATATGTTTTTTTTTACAATAAAGGAACAAAAATTTTGCCAATAAAAGCCACAAATAACATTGAACAGAGTAACAATTTAGGATACAGCTTCATTGTTTCTTTTTTCAAGAGTCTATAGCAAAAACATTTGGAAAATTATTTTTTAAACAGTAATAAATAGAGTCAAAGTGCAAACTTTAAACCCTCGTAACTTCGAAATTTTTACAGATAAGATTTTTTTAACATTTTTTCCAGGTTCCTGGTATCACACCTTATATGGCATTTTTCTCTGGGGCGCGAGTTCTGGCGCACCCTGTATTTTTATTATCTCGCTTAAGCGTCTTATTGGTTCATCAAATCTTACCTACTTAAATGCACATTATTATTCTTGTAATATTTTATTGTATATGACAAAATGGCTCTCCGAGGAAATATGTATGTATAATGATAATAAAAATTATAATAAATATTATAAAAATAAACTAATTTATTAATTAATACCTTCTAATATCCCAAAACTTAATCTTACTAAAATCCTTAAATTATACACGATTATTCAAAAAAGTAGGACAACTGCTTATACGGGTGACAGAAAACGTTAAAAGAATCGCAAATTTGCTTTTATATTTTTTTAGACCTCGTGGCTTTGAAAATATTAATGTTTAAAAATAACACAAATTGGCAACGCTGCCATTTGCTCTTTGTTTCCTCTTCTAATAGCCTGTAGCAAAAAAACTTAGAAAATTATTTTTCCAACACAGAGTCAAAGTGCGAAATTCAAACTTTCATACCTTCGAAATTTTTATAGATATTTTTTTAAACATTTTTTCCATGTTCCTGGTATCCCATTTTCCTTTGGGGCGCGAGTTCTGACGCACCTTGTATAGACACCAACAAATGTCAAATTCACTCATTACGTTTAATTTTTATTTTCAGTACGTAAATGTGAATATTTACAAAAATCGTCATTACAAAAAAATTTAAACCTTCAATAGAAGATGAAGTTGAATTACCACCCTTCCAAAAATTGTTAAGTGTTGATATCTTAGGCGAGATTAATTCTCATTAATTTAATTTTGTCACCAAAAAATCACATTGTATGGTTATTACCAGTCAAGGTTAAAGTGTAATAAAAATAATTTTTTGTTATCTTCCACACCTACTTATCTACTTTATCGTTATTTTATCGCTTCCGTTTAAAAGCTTATGTAAAATTCTATACTCTTTATCGCAACCTACTTGAAATTTGCAAATTTTCCCACAAGTAAGGTATTTGAACTGCAATTCAAAGTTTTGCATTGTTTTATTTTGTAATCCTTGTGAGAAAACTTCAAAATTGATTAGCTACAAGTACAAAAAAAAATCATATTTCTTTGGCGGACATTTATGAAAAAAATCCTTGGACTGATCGACTTTCTTTTTTAATTTCTTTTGTCTTCCGTATGTAATTTTTTTTAGACTACATACCAAGTTCACATTTTTCTGCATTTAGCATAGTACCCTTAAATCCCTATTCGGCCTTTTTAAGACACCTGACACATAATAATAATTACAAAAATCCAATTTTAAATATTTCTTTTTTTTCACAAAAAAGTTGAATAAAACTCAACGATAGTTAAAATCCAATTAAAACATTTCAGACCATATGTGATTCTATAGATAAACAAAGAAATGTTATTTTAAGCTACAATGTGACAAACACAAGCTACAGAACTCTAGAAACAAGATATTGCGGTTATCGTTTTATTAAAAGTCTTATTTAAAAAACAATCCTGTTATGACTATTTTTACACGGATGTATGCCTACATTAATCAAGAATTTTATCGTCACATTTTAATGTCGACTTTCTTCGTTAACTACAAGAGAAACTTAGTGTAAACGACATTTTTTCTAAGTTTGTGAGATTTCATTCAAATATCTCATCCTCGTACAACGCAAAAAATTCTAGTAAATAAATGTTAAATATGTGTATTTTTTCGTAGTAATACACGTGCATGGAATGCTAAGACAACTAATTAGAATTTTTCGAAGAACAATGATAATCTCCAACAAATAAAATCTTCACGTTTCTGATAGCGAAGCCACTGTGTACATTTCTGCTACATTTACTTTACTAATAAAACAATAAGTTTACTTTAAATTTACATTATTAAAACTGATAACAAGATGATAAAAATTCAACACGAGTGTAAATAAAATACATAATAAATTACCGGATTTAGTCAGACGAATAGTTTGAAAAATATGTCTGACAATGAGATTATTAAAGAGATTGGTATCTCCAAGAACCTTGAATAATTGCTAATGATTGCTGAATTCGGTCAGCAACGCAACATATAATTTGAATGTGATATTCTATTAAATTAAAATTTAAAAATATTTAAAAAAATAAACTAAAAATTGAAGAAAGGGCAATTTTAATAATAATGTTTATTGTTGTCAGAGTACAATAGGTAGAGATTGAAAATACAGAAAATAAATAATTAAGGTATTAAATATTTTAAATATAATAAATATNATGTGAAACTATTCATTTTGAATTGTAGTTAAAAACTTCAATTCAATGAAAGATTTTATTTATGTAAATCAAATAATAATTAAAAACAATAACATATTGTTTAATTAATTATTGAATAAAAAACACCCAATTTCTGAAACAAATTGAAAAAACTCTAACATTGTTCCTTATTTTTAACATAACTAGTAAAGTAAATAATCTGTAGGTCATTTCGATTAACTTTAATTCAAGTAGTAAACATACTCAGTACACCTATTATGTAGCAATAACTCACAAAAACAAAAAAAAAACAATATGGGAGTATATATACAGAGTGGTTATAAATGATTTTCATCTAGCCAGCTTTGGATTTTTTTGCATGTAACTGTCATTAGTGTCACTTATTAATTAATAATAAATTGTTATTAATTAAATTTTTATTGTTTCAACTAATTTCAAATAATAATTGATAATAATGTATACTTTGGAAGAAAACAAGTTTATAATTGAAGTCTATTTTCGAAGTGGACGCTTAGTAAACGGCGATTTTTTAATTTTGAGTTACAACAAATAGATACCCCTATTTTCGTAAAGCGGCATTTTTTGTTTTACATGGAAAATTCACAGCTGGCTAGATGAAAATCATTTATAACCACTCTGTATAATACAGATGAAAATTTCACCAAATAATGAAAAATGATTTTTATTAATTTATTTTATCTATCAATTTTCTGGCTTTGAGTTCTCAATTTTAAATGTTTTAATTAAAATGTAATTTTTTTACTTTATTTCTTTTGTAAAAGTAAATAATTCTGATTTCTGGTAAGAATTTTGTAAAATTTTCTGGAAAACTAGAGTACAAAAAAGTAGGTAAAAAGCCTACGCTCTACAAACAGGCAAATTCAATAATGTTTAATACATTTAAGCAAGATAATTAATTGCACTTAACGATGTGTTTGAATGGACAAAACTCCTAAAACCTATTGACATAACTGTAAATCAATATTTTCGGTACTTTTACAGTTAATTAATTATAGGTGTAATTCAATCTGTATACGTTTTTAGCTACCTGGAGTTCCTCCAATAAATTGTTTAAATCGTTCCTGTTGCAAAAACATCTATTTCTAGTTCCGCGCCCCCCAAATACGTGCTGGAATCCCATTGGAGACTTAACCGCGAAGTTTTTCAATGAAACTTTCTACAAATACTCACGATTTGTTCACGAACGTTGTTGTGGAATTCCTGTTCTTCAAAATTGGGCTCATCTTCGTCATATTCATCCATTTCTTTCACCTATTTGTTAACACTGGTCCTTCTAGCACTAATAAACTTTTCATGGTGGCAATTTATTTAATCACTTTCAGGGTCCATTATTTTTTTTTGTTATAATACGGAAAGCAATAGATTTCAAAAAACTGGTCACAACTTCTGTCACTGGATTTTATACAAACGACAAATTTTGTGTAAACTCGAAAATTGTTAACCTTGGCGCTTGACGTTTACTAGAACAATGTCCAGCTGGAATGCAGGCTGACAACATAAATTAATCTATGTTGTAGTGATGGTGGCGACACCTACAACAGTACCAAGGGCATTGTGGAGAAAAATAAAACGTAGTTTAAAAAAAATGCAACCTCTTTTTGCTCCCTGAATGAAATGATATAGAAAAGCATTAATAACAGTGAAATTGATAAAAATAACACTAAATAACAGTTAGCATTATGCAACACATAAACTCTGATGTATATTTGGTTGCCTATATCAATTATTAAATAATTTTTAAGATACAATTACTTCATTAATTTTAATATTTTTATTGATTTAAGAGGTTAAATAATAACACAAAATTGCCTTCTTCAGACTTGTTATTGTTATCAAAACAAAATGTATAAATTTACATAAGTTAACGCTTTCTGCGTAATTGCAAAGAGTTCCTCCTGAGCCAGGCAGCCCTCCTGGAACCGCCCTTGGTTTGTGAATACCTGTGTCCTTTTCCAATACCTCTAGAGGAACGTCCAGCTGATGTTTTCCCGCGAAGTTCACGATGTTTGTGAACCGAATTAACTATCCAGTTTACTTTAGGATCACGACGAATAGCCTGCAAAATAACACGAAAAAATTACAAAAACTGTATTACCTTATAACAAAATTAATATTAAATAATTTGAGTCAGCAATTTAAGGAATATTCTCTTCACACTTTAAATAAGAGTGGTGCATGTTCCAATCATCACATAATGCTATAATCATTGAAGAAACTAATAAAATGAACAATTACCTTATGAGATGGGTCAACTAAAATGACTTCATAGTATTTGTATGAAGAGTCTTGTGCCACCCAATAGGAGTTCAAAACGCGGAGACCACCACAGCGTCTTCCTACCCTTTCCTACAAAAAACTGTTAAAACCCCCAAAAATCTAACATTGAACCAACAAACCTCAGCGATGGCTTGCAAGTTGCGTACGGGTTTAAGTTGGTTAACTCCATGGCTTTTAGGTTTACCGTAAGTGGCACCTTTAGGGACTGGACGCTTGCGACCCCCACGACGAACACGAATACGGAAAATAACAAAACCTTCAACTACGTTAAAATTTGCTCATTTTGCACAGTGTTCACTTACCTTGTTTGGCCCTGTACCCCAATCTGCGGGCCTTGTCAGGACGCGAAGGTCTTGGGGCCCGGTGCAATTTCGTCAATTGGCGGTACTGCCAAACGCGTACTCTTAATAAAAATCTAAGAACATCACTTTGTTTCTTACGATACAATTCTTGAATGTATTTGTAGGCCCCCATGGTTTAGGTTCAGCCTGAAACAAATTGTTGACATAACCACAAAGTTGATAAAAACAAAATAATGGACATGGGGGGCACATATCGGCAAAAATACCTACAACGGGGGGTTATTTGGGATGACAAAAACAGGATTTGTGTAATTTGAATTATATTTGGTGGTGGATGTTAGAGAAAATTAGAAATTAAAGAATTACAAGTTTGGAAACATACCTACAAAGCAACCACAGACGGAAAAGGAAAGTGGGGGTAACAGGAATACCAACCGTATTACTTGTGGCGCACTTTTTGAATTTTTTATTGTTTCGGTTGCAAAAAATTGTTTCATTTTATTGAAAATGTAATGGTAATGATAAGTGTAAGAATTATTGAATTTGTTTTTTATACAAAGTAATTTAATTGTCGTTATACGTTACCTGTCGATACATGTCAAACGTCAAAAAACTAAAAAGTGAATCATAACCCCAAATAGCAAATACCACTGACAAATACCCATTCAAATACCAACCAAAATGTTTGTTTTATAATTCACATTTTTTGTTTTGTTTATTTACTCATTTTTTATTTTTTTGTTAGGCTCCTCTCCCAAATCTAGTGATACTTGACTTAATTTCAAAAATGCCTGACAATAAATAAAACGACCAAAAATGGCACTATTTTACCAAAACATTTGTCCGTACAATAATTGCTGTAAAAACTTCCACAATTTGGCTGATTTAATCACCCACATTGAGAGCGACCACATAGGTAAGCCCCGAACGCAGAGAATTCTTTCCAACTTTGTCTTTTAGATTTTGACCCCCATACTGTTGAGCGATTAGAGGAGGAGAAACCTGCGAGTTTACCTCTAAGTTATGTACTTAAATTCAGCGGCCCTAATGATCCCCCACCTCAATTCACCCCTAATAAAATTGAGGAGGAATTAAATGAAGCTGTAATTGAGGAATTGGAGGATGACGGGGTCTCTGAAATAGTGACGCCATTGAATAACAATTATTTGGGTTTAGGATTCAATCCTAAAGAAAAAAAGATCAAGAGTGAAGTGAAATCTACTGAAGATCAAGTCACACATATTTTGTGGTAAAGGTTTTGGGAATTTAAATTAGTTTTTAAGTTGTTTTTTTAGGAATAGTAAACTGTTCAATCTAGATCACAGTCATAAGAAACCATTTGGGTGTAATATGAAAGGCTGTGAGAAGCGATACAAAAATATTAACGGCGTTAAATACCACTATAAAAACCACCACAAAATGTATTTTTACATAATAGTTGATTTTCAAATTTTTACAAACCGTTTTAGGTTAATACCGGGGTTGCGAAAATCTGTCCTGAGACAAAAGTCTGTTTTAAACCCTCCAAAAACAAAAATTTGCAGACGCGACGTTCACGGGATTCCCCTGTATAATTTGAAGCCATCAACCGACTTTATCTACCACAATATGCACCACTTTGATGGTTATGAAGCGATACATAATGAATATTTCTACAAGTTAAATACTGTACCTACCTCTGATGTGTCTCATCAAGTGCCATTAGGAAACAATATGAGCTTTAACTACTATAACTTAGCGGGAGTTAATAGTGCTAATGAGGATATTTCAGGGAAAAATTCCAATTTTTTTTCTTAGAAATTTTGAGAAAATACTATTACTGTGATTTATACCAAAGTTGGAAGAACTGAAGTATTGTTAGTTAACGACTGATTTGTGTTGTATGAACAAATGTGATATTTGAGTATTAAGTTCTTTCGTTATCCTTGAGAATAACTTGTGTTTTTATGGCTACAGCCATTTCAATTTTAGTACGTCCATTCTCTGGTCCAATTTGGGCGTAATTAGACAGTGTAAGTCGCTCGTTTGAAGAACGACTCACACAGGCCGATTATTGCTCAAATTAAGTGTATTGAAATTGAGATAATTATTTATATTTGTATTTCGAATGTGTTGTGAACATTGATAGAATGAAAAATTGAATGAAATTCATTGCTTTGCAGTATGTGATAACGATATTAAAAAGTTCCAAAAATATCTTAGAATAATTTCTTGTTTTTGTCGTTATAAATATTGAATTAAATTTGATTTTGTATTTTCATTTTTACTGTTTTATTTTTTCCTTTCCTTATAACTGTGCTTCGAAAAAATAAAACTAATCTGCGCATGAACCTTTTCAAATTGAAAATTAAGCGTTTGGATAAGGATTGAAATTATAAAGTAACCATTTACTCCTGTTATTAATTTTTTATTTATATATGTAATAAAAATTTAAATACGTTTCATGAAAAACAGCCCCAGTGGTCACACAGCGAAATATCATCTTCAAATGTTAATGCCAAGTATTAACCTATTGAATAAAAATGAATTTTTAATAAACTTTACTGTTTTCTGTTATTTTTTACATTTCAAAGTTCTATCAGGGTTAAAAAAACATCTATTACTTATGCGAACGGATATTTTGCCGGTTTTTTGTCCGGAATAATACGGATACTTAAAATATAAAAAAAAAGTTGTAGAGAATAAGATTTTCAAGAAAAAAGTCCGTGAGAGATACCTCTATCTCCAATGGTTTACGCTCAAGTGACGAATACGTCATTTTTACGGGTGGTCAAGAGACAAAAAATTAATTTAAACCTAAACGGTCGAAGATAGAGATATGCTTTCGCGAACTTTTTTGTATCAAATTTTATTCTCTTCAATTTTGTTTTTTACACTTTTTTGTATCTTCAACAGTATTCGCAGCGTTCTCAAAAATATCGAAAACAGTATTAAAAATAAATTATCAGTTTGCGTTCCGCCCAATATTTTTGAAAACGCTGAGAATACGGTTAAAGATGCAAAAAAAATGTGAGAAACAAAATTGTAGAGAATAAAATTTGCTACAAAAAAGTCTGCGAGGCCATATTTCTATCTTTAACGATTTAGGTTTAAGTGTTTCTCTGGCACTGAATCATCAGTAAAAATGAAACGAATCCGTCGCTTGAGCGGCTTTGAACGTCTTTGAGGCCTAAACCATTAAAGATAGAGGTATGGTCTTGCGGACTTCTTACTAGAAAATTTTATTCTCTACAACTTTCTTTCTAACATTTTTCTTGTATCTTCAACCGTATTCTCAGTATTTTGAAAAACATAAAATGGAGTACAGATTTTATTTTTTTTCTCATATTCTTAAAATTTTATTAGTCCGCCATAATCACTGCCGCAGTAAATTACTGTCAGCAAAGTTTTGCAGTTTAAAAAACATGATTTGAGAAATATTAATTCAAAGCTTATCTTCTAAATTACAAAACTGCTAAAAATATTTCATTTTGAACAAAGTTGCAACACCTAGGGGAGAGTAGGATTATCGTGAGCAGTGAGTAATGGTACGCACCTTTTTGCAGCTTTTCCTAATCTCTTTTAAGGAAAGTTATTTATGCTGCCATTTAGTTTTACACATTATAGTACCGTGCGATCAAAAAAAAAAAAAAATTAGAGTAGGTGACGATTAATATTCTATAGTTGGCAACACTGGGCCGGAAATTTTCCACGCAAACTGAAAGTGAAAATGATCATTCACCGTTCTCGTCTTGTACAGCATTTTTGTAATAACTTGCAACTAAAAATTTTCTGCTCTAAAGTGAACATTATTTCACTCAAAATGAATAAAACGCACACTTGTCAAAGTTTCTGCTGACATTTGATGTCAAAAAACAGGACTGCCATCTGAAGGACTTTAATCAGCGCCTACTCTTACGTTGCCATTTTCACATTATAGAAAAAAGGTGGTAATAATAAGTACAGTCGGTGGTTTACAAATAAGGTTATATTGTCACAAACATCAAGTTGGAGTTCAGTTTTTTATTGCTGTCTACATTAACAAGGGTTTTATAAATAACACAAGTGATATAGCATCTCTTTAGGTTCAAAGACTTCAAAGAGCTTCAACGATCATTTTTAAATTGCGGTCAATTTTTATTTTGGGTGACAATTCAAAAGTTTGGTACACATTGAGCAAATTCTGATTGTCCCAGTTTTTTTGTCCACTAACTGTAGTTACAACAAGTAAGTTACATCATCACTAAAGTATATGTTTTTTCAAATTTTATTATTTTTTATTCTATGTGTTTCAATTTTTTCCTTTTTATAAATCTACAAATAATTTACTGAATAGTCGGATAATTTGACGCAAATGTGCTTATCTATCCTACACTATTTTTTATATTCTTTTTTTTTATAGAAGTTGCTTCTAGTTTTTTATTTTTGAAATACAGGGTGTCTCGCACTCGCACCCAAGAGAAAAATTTCAAGTAAGATAAGATACCAGGAATATGAAAAAAAAGTTCAAAAAATTCTATATCTGTCAAAAAAAAATTACGTTTATGTTTTGACATTACACATGGTTTTATGTATTTGACGATACTGATGATCTTGTATGTTTTTTTTTATAATTATTTAAATTAAAAAAAAATCAAATTTTGTGACTTATTCTACTTGAAAATAACACAGTTAATGTAACGTTAAATTTTTTGAACAAAATTTTTATTTAGATTAAGATATCTCTTACACTTAAGATTCACAGAGTTAAATTGTTCACTTTAATGACAGCAAACTTTAATAAAATGAAGAATTTATAAAACAAGAAATTTGATTTATTGCGATTGAAAAAAGGTCATTTTGGTAAAATTCTTGTTATAAACCAAATTGTATACAGATCGAGGTTGGGATAAAAGGATAAACAAACCTAATATAAATGTATCAGCGTTCAGCAAAACCTTTCACGTAATAGATAAAAGAAAGACTCGAAAAACAAATATAATTGTAAAAATAAACTCTTTCGTTAAAATGATTAAATCTACATACACTGTCACATTTCGGAGAAACATTAAATGCCTCTTTTCCGCTTATCTATTTTTATTTTTAAAATGATTGGTGTTGTATTCATGTATAACACCCTGAATTTATTTTTAAGTTTTGACTTTGCTATTAATCCTCCTGCATTCTTAAATTAACTCGCTTGGAAATTTTATAAATATTAATCAATCAATGTGTTTTCGCGATTCTCATTTAAAACTGAAATAAAGTTTTCGATAAAATCTTTGTTAAAAAAGTGAATAAAGTAATCAAAAGTACTTGAAATTAAGATTCGTAAAATCACCAAACACCCACATAACAAGCGTAAGTGGAGACTACCATATTTATCTATAATTTTTCTACCAAAAATGGGTTCGAAATTAAGTGATTCATATAATTATAACTTCAAGTTGGTCACAATAGAAACTGTGACGTGTGTGATATCAACCCACTGAATCCACTAAACTGTTTTATTGCTTTAGAACGACCGTAGGAGTACAAAAGATATCATGGGGGCGAAAAAATATCGATACGAGATTTTAACGGGTCTAGACATTCCTACTCCCAAAATTACTGACCTGGATTGACCCAGCAATGGACAAAATAAAACACTTGTTATTTGTACCATGTTTTGTAATAAATTGCAGGAAATTATTCAGTTATAAAAATCGTCGTCGAGTTTACTCGTTTTTCGGATGAATCAAAAGATTCTAATCCCCTAGATAGTTATAAATTGCGACTATACTAAAGGGTCCACTGTCAGAATTATTACTTCTTCTCGGAAGTTTGTTACGATGCGGAAATAAATTAGTTCAGTGTTTCTATAGGAAAAAAGTTATCTCAATTGGTCCTATTTCGTTCTACTACGTCTCACTTATCTCTAAACATTTTTTCTGTAATTTCTCATTAAAATTAATTAAAAAAATCGACAATGTCAAGTCACATACACGTCAAATTTACTCGCAATTTACTTAATGCAAAAAAGCTCCGGAATCAGGGTAATTGCTTTATTGCTTACCAAAGCGGCCATAAATAAAATGTAGTAGTTTAAATCGCGGAAAACAGGCCGTAGGCAATCCTATAAATACTCCCTTTATATTTCGCGCAATTTGCCCTAACTGACATGGGGCTAATGAAACGAAAAATTAAGTGCTTTTGCCCGAATCTATTTCAAAATGTGAGAAAAGCATTAGTACCGTGGGTGTTTTAATTTTATTAAAATAATTACATCGAACTTTTTTACAAAACAATGCACATGCGTCAATGTTGGAATCAAGGCGACGCTCTCGACGCATCATTTTCGTGTTGTGAGACTCAGTTGGCTTTTATTCCGTGTGAGAGGAATCGGAGGAGCGCCTTTTTCAAATGTTGGTGAGTACAACTTTATTTTTATTATTAGCACGAAAAAAATACAATTTTCAAACACATTATTTGTAATATCAATCTTTGTTAAAAATAAAACATGTCAGTAAAATTGAGGGTAATGGCATGTTTGACCGTACAAATATATTTTCTAATTTTAATTTCTAATGATCTAGTTTGACTAATTTTTTATTGTTGTTGCATTAATGCGCTCCAAAATTATAATCTACGTAAGCGTAAGAATGTGGAAATTTATCAGTTGCAACAAGATTTACATTTCTGCTACTTTTTCAATTGTTTAAAATATAATCTTTTATACACTTTTTTGCATTATACAGGCAGCACGAAAAAAAATTATTTTAATTTTCTTCTATTTAGGTATTGCTAGTATTGTTTTGGTGCAAATTTTAGTACACTCTGTATGTACCAGGTGGGGCTTCATTTACGCGCAGAAAAGAAATCCCCACTTCTAATTAAATAAAATTGTTGAAGATTTTTGACACTTACCTGGGTATTGATAAGGTACATTTCATAATTTTTTGGTAATTTTTCATTTACAAACAATGCCAAAAAAATAAAAACTATTTTATTCCTAAAAAGTTCAATTCGAATTTTTATACTGACCTATGCAGATTTACTGTCATTGTTTACGAAATCAGAAAAAAAATGCTAAATTTTGAATTAAAGGCAATTTTCCATCTTAACTTTGAAAATCATTTTTATTTATGAACTGTTACGGTCTCATTTATTATCAAAAAAATTTAGAAAAATTTTCAAATATACCCTACCAATAATAATTGGTTCGGTATATGAAATATCGCCAGTTTTAAGTAA